TGTATAGATGAGGGGCTGGAGGCTTCCACGGATGATTATCGTTCACTTGCGTTTTGCTTGGAGCGTTTCAACTTATTGCGTTCGTGCTAAATTGCCTGATTACGCTTCCATCGATACCTTCTTTGATAACGTGTTGGAGATCTAAAGTATCTAGAAACTTCGAACGTTCAAAAGTTGTGATTAAGTGAGTTGAGTTAGATGTGATACTAGAACATTATAAACGTGGTTAAATTACAAGTTAGTTATTAAAATTTGAAACTTTCGTCTTGAGTATGATTGTATGTGTGATTGCTCAGGATACCCTTTTTTAGTTTAGCTTCTAGAATCTATTTCTTAGTTCAAGATCCCTCTTACTAACTGGAATCAAAGAATTAGTAGATCAAGTATATGTTGCTTGGCCGTAGGCAGAACGAATAGGCTTAACTTGTTGAGGCATGGTGTTGAGGCATGGTAGCTATTCTTGGCGGTTGAGTTTAGGCAGCTAGTGCTATGGAACTCATGTACAGTTGGAGGTTTCCTAGGGTTGTCTCGTTCCTGCTTTTAGGAGTAAGTTACCTTAAGTAACTGGTATTTGATTCAGGTTTGTAACCCCAAGTAGCTATGCTCGTCTCCTATGAGACTAGATGTCCTGAGTAGGTGTGGGCTCTTCCTGTGAAGTGAGTGCTGCACAATTGCAAGTCTCTGCCATCAAATTGCAATTGTGACAAAAAAGTTTAAAATGTTAATTTTAGATAGTATGCCCCCGAAGCTAGATTATTTCGAGCCATACTTGGCATTTAGGTATCCACTTCAAAAAAAAACTATCTAAAATTACCTATAGGCTGTAGGGGTCAAGTTATTGATGTGAGATGGATCCAGAAAAAAGGGGGTTCGAGTATAATCTAGAAATGATTCGTGTATATATTTCACAGAAACGTGAAATCAAAGTAGGCGACAAGGTAGCGGGGGAAGACATGAAAATAAAGGTATTGTTTCAAAAATTTTGCCTAGAGAAGATCTGCCTTATTTGCAAAATGGAAGACCCGTTAATATGATATGGTTTTCAATCCATTAGGAGTCCCCTCACGAATGAATACGAAGGTGTATAATCGGTTACCAAAATTGGCTAAAACTTATCTAACACTAATTCCTTTCAAATTGTTTTCAATGCATTTACTCGCTCACGTTTTTTAAAACATTTCTTTGAAACATGACCCTAGGCTCGACCATATGTAAAGGTTGTCCACAAAGCTCTACTTTCGTACGACTAGTTTGTTCACTGGATTAAAATAAGTGCAGTACAATCGTTGTCCCGTACTACAAGACTGCGATTATGACAAGTGGTATAAGAGTCAGGTTGGCTCCTTGAATCGTAGTACATAAACATGTCTGTTGCAAAACAAGTGGCAAGACCTGAGCTGACTGATTGGTAGAGATCAAAAATCAGTTACTCTGCTTGAGTAAAGTTCCTAATGGAATGAGGCTTTTGGAATCTCGTATGAATGAAATTGCCACTAAGCCGACAGGATCGATGATATGATAGGTCGCTTTGAGACAATGCCTGTCTGTAAATTAATGGTTAAGGTTGAGGCTCTAGAAGACAAGGACACAAATGTTGGTGACTCCGGGTTTGAGGATAGCTAGATGGGCTATATTGCTCGAATGAAAGAACAGATCGAATGGAATGAACTCTTCATCCATATAGCGGAAGGATTGGAAACTGTTTTGACTTTATTAAGAATTAAAAGAAAACAATAAATACGAGAGCAAGAACTTTGTTATTCCATGTTCTACAGAATCTTCGTGACTCAAACACAAGATCAAGGTTATTGAAAAAAAAAATATCCCAAAGAATTGGACAAGGGACAAGAAATCAATGATATTTTGGCTCAATCAAGAGTCGTTTACCCGGACTCTTAATAATGCTCGCCAAATAATATATTTGAATATAATATCTTATTCAAATCATATTGAGATGTTATAAGATATTCCAATATATATTTAATTAATTTTTAATATCATTCAAATTTCTAATATATAATTTTATTGCATTATTTAATATACATTAATTATTTTAATTTTTAAGGTATCAAAATATAATAAATATATTTCTATTTTTAATATATCTTATAAATTAAATATTAATTTGAACCTTTCAAATTTTATTTTAATTAAATTAAACTTCCATTACGGTAGGACAAGTTATGTCTATTGATATAATCATTACAAAGAAGTAATCATTCCCGAATTGTTCATAATTACTATGTCAAAAGTTTGTTTTACCCTTATAATCATAACTCTTTAGAATATTACTCGAACAACTGTGAAGTTCCATTACAGTTATTCATAACTCTTTAGGATATTACTCCCTTCGACAAAGAAAACGTGAAGAATCGACGAACCAAGACGTGATTTTCAACAGTTCCTGACAGATTGGAGGAGACTCCTCAAGTCAGCCTCATCTTACATTGCTGAGCATGTGAAGAGTCAGCTGATAGAGACGTCAACCAATTGAGTGAGAGAGAATGTCAATGTCATGCTTGTTTAAGGTATATTGTTAGTGGCTGCGTGCCGGCTGCCCTGATCTTGGTTGGTCAGGACATATTGTCTATGACCGCATGCTTGTTCCAAATCTCTTTTACTTGCTTTCTTGTTATTTTATGAAGGGCCACCTGTCTATAATATTTTTTTTTTTCATGCTTTAATTTATTCACATAATTAAATACAAATTTTTTTATTTATAAATTTAATATAAAAGATTTATTAAAATTATTTTAAAACAAATTTCAAATTTACAATATTAATTAAAACTGACTTGATAGAGTATTTTTGATAATTTATTTAAAAAAATAAGGAAAAGATAAGGAAAAAAGAAAAGGAAAGAGAAGAAGGGGTCAATTTCATACCTATATAAACCCTAAAAACCCCGGTAAACCCTAACCGAGATTTTGAAGCGACCTTCCTCCGATTATTAAGAAAAGCTCTCTCGTTTTCTCATAGCTGGAGGAGAAGAATGCGACCACCAAGAGGCGGCGGTGGCTTCCGGGGAGGCCGTGACGGTGGTTTCGGTGGTAGAGGAGGCGGCCGAGGCAGGGGAGGTGGCCGCTTTGGTGGTCGTGGCGGCGGAGGTTTTCGTGATGAGGGTCCTCCGGCTGAAGTCGTTGGTTCGTATCTCCCACTACTTCTTCAATCATTCATTAATTTGGGGTTTCCTTCATCTTTTGCTTCTTTGCTACTAGGATGTTTTCTGTAGGTGTTTAATGAAATAGTTTTAGTTACAATGCTATTTTCCCTTGAACTATTTAGAATGTTACTGGTATTTTTGTTTGTATAATCAGTATAAACAATGGATTTTGTTTCTGAAATTTTCCTTTTTCTCTAGCAATTTAAAATTGAATACACACAAGCTATCTCTACTTTTCTCTATGATAGTTTTGTTACATTTGCTCCCTGTTTTCCCTACTTTGTTCTACTTTATTTTTCACTACAATGATTTTTTCTGTTACAGAGATTTCTTCTTTCCTTCATGCATGTGAGGGAGATGCAGTCACAAAACTCACAAATGAGAAGATTCCTTTCTTTAATGCCCCTATCTATCTTCAGAATAAGACCCAGATAGGTAAAGTTGATGAGATTTTCGGCCCCATCAATGAATCCGTGAGTCCACTGGCCTTGATTTTGTTAGTTGTTTAGTTTTGGATACAGTTTTGATATATGATAAATCATTGTTTCTTAAACCTGATTACAGTATTTCTCGATCAAAATGATGGAAGGAATCGTCGCCACCTCATATTCTTCTGGGGATAAATTTTATATTGATCCAGCTAAACTTTTACCTCTCGCTAGATTCCTCCCACAGCCGAAGTACGTAATCTATCTCTCCCCCCCACCTCCACCGAGGTCTTTTTTTTCAAGTGATTGCTAATGTCCGTTTGTATTGAGTGGTTTTAGAAAACGTAGTTTATGTCTTGACTGCACGACTAACGTTTATTGTTTTGATGTAAGGCTTGGATATAAATTCAGATTAACATGGTATTTATGTTTGATTGTATTGAATCTTGAATGAAGATGGGTGGTTAAGTGAAAGATTCTATTATAGTTGAAATTTGGGATCCAGACTGAGTAAAATCACGAGTGACTGAAAATAGGGTTGCTAGGTTCATGCCAGTTTGTTTTATTTTATTTGCTGTTTTAAATTGTGTGTTTAATAACTAGTTCCTCTATATGATTCCAAATTTTCATAATCCAAACGAACAACATAGCTTCATATTATGTGGTCTGCACGTCTTCAGTGGATTGCGTACATGAGAAACAATTTAGTTTGCTGCGAATTTACCACGCTGGCTGCTTCTGTGATTTGCCCTTATTGGCTCCTTTTTCTATTCAGTATCCAAATATTGGTAGTCGATCACTATTCATCTGATATGTTTCAAACTGATAGACGGTTTTATAACTTTTTTAAAATTGAAAGAATCAAAGAACTACTGAGCAATGCTTCACAGTTTTTGTGATAGATTCTGTATAGAAATAACTCTGTTCATTATTTCAGGGGACAGTTTGCCGCTAGAGGTGGAGGTCGTGGTGGGGGCAGAGGTGGCGGCAGAGGTGGCCGTGGGGCTGGTGGCTTTCGTGGAAGGGGCGGTCCAAGAGGTGGCAGAGGTGGCCCTCCAAGAGGTGGTGGCCGTGGTGGTGGCTTTAGGGGTAGAGGAAGATACTAAATTAGCATTATGTAATACTATAGTTTTATCAATTTTCCATTTGCAATGTCATTTTGGGAAGCGTTTGCTAGAGTCTTTTGTTTGTACTGTATTTTGTTTGGAATTCAACTTCTCTTTATTGAAGCTACTACCTAATTTAATTCTACCGCTAATTTTAATGTCTTACTAATCAGTGCAACTGAAATTTTCTAGTCTGTGCCTCGATATAATATATGGATCGAGTTTGTGGATTATGAAATTTTGATGTCGTTTTTCTCTTATTGTTGCGTGTTTTGAACAAAATAAAGATGACTATTGTCCATATAGTTCTACAGTACTGTTTGAAAACTGTTCTCATTTCTTTTACTGTCAAGAAGTTGGTAAGCCAAGTGAATGGCTGAAGCCTAGAGAGGACTCCTCTCATCCGAAATCAATCCTTAAATCTCCTATCAATAGGTATCAGGAGGAAGCAAAACTACGCCATTTATTTGGCATTTTTTAGAGCTGAGATGGTAGTCCTTGCATGCTTGTCCAATAAAAATAACTAACGCTATGAAAAAGTGGTCGTTGTATGCAGGAGGAAATACAGCAGGAAAGGAAGCAGCACTAAGGTGAGGGAGTGGAGCATCTCCCCATTTATTCAGACCTGAGAGAAGCAGTTGCTTAGGCTTCCCAACCCCTCAACACAGTGGCTCTGGCGACTCGGTTGACTCCAAGTGTAAAAGCTCCCATGCGGAGGTCACAATTATGGGTCTTGCACATCTCCTTCACATCTTTGAAGCCCTTCGTCATGTAAGTCTTCAGTTCATTGTTTACCTTCTCTTCCTCCCACATGAAACCTTGGATGTTCTGTATTTGTATTGTTTGTTTCAATTGAGTTATATATCATATGTGTGCATCTGTTGTCTCTTTCTGAAAGGAGTTAGTGAATGAATGAACAAAAGGGTTGTACCTGAACCCACTCGAAGTAGCTAACTGTAACTCCCCCTGAATTTGCATAAATATCTGGTAGAATAACAACTCCTTTTCTTGCCAATATCTACAGATGACAAAAGATTATGAATTTCCAGTTTTTGCTTCTATCTTCATTTAGCTTGTTGTTCATTCATGTGCTCACCTCATCGGCCTCTGGGTCTGCTGGGTGATTGGCTGCTTCTATTATGAACTTAGCTTTGATTTCATTGGCATTTTCCTTGTTGATGACGCCTCCAAGGGCTGCTGGTATCAATATGTCACAGTCTTCAACCAAAATAGACTGGGGATCAATTGGATTTCCCCCATCAAAACCTTTCACACCTTTGTGTTCTTTTGCATATTTTAGTAAGCTTGGAATATCTATCCCATTGTCATTCTTTATTGCTCCTGTCACATCGCTTATAGCTACAATCTTTCCTCCATTTTCATTGATAAGTCGTGCTGCCCACGACCCCACATTGCCGAAACCCTAACATAGCAGCCCGTATTTTTACTTAGCATGCTGTAGTATATATGAAGGTTAGCTTGAACGAGAAATTCTAGCAGAAAGGTAAAGAAAAGTGTGCCTGAATGACAAATCTTTGACCAGATATGCTCTTTCCATACTCATTTAATAAGGCCTCTGTTGCATACAACACGCCTCGCCCTGTTGCTGCATCTCTGCCCAGAGATCCACCCAGATCCTAGTTTGGTGATAGTCAACTTTGATTAGTTGCTTTAATAGTGATCTATGGAGCTGAGTTGAGCCTTATAAGTCACTTACGATAGGTTTCCCTGTTACGATCGCTGGTGAGTAGCCATGAAACTTGGAATACTCGTCTAGGATCCATGCCATTGTCTGTTGAAATCAACACACAATTAGGAGGGAGGAAAGTTGAAACTTGAAGAGTAAAATAATACAACTACTAGAAACTAAGTTTGATTGTGTATATGTAGTCAACCTGTGGACCTGTTCCCATATCTGGTGCTGGAACATCGGTGTGGACACCAACAAGATCATGTATCTTTTGAGTGAAAACTCTGGTAAGACGTTCCAGCTCCGATATACTTAATTCTCCAGGATCACATCCTATCCCGCCCTTCGCTCCACCGTATGGTATATTTGCGACCGCTGTCTTCCACGTCATCAATTGTGCCAAAGCATTTACCTCATCAGGGTCAACCTGCATTGGAGAGTAGACCATGAGCAAAATGCAAGGAATGAGCCCTTGAAACTTAGATTTTGTAGAAAAGAGACTCTAGATAATAAGAAAAACTACCAACCTCTGGGTGATATCTGATCCCTCCCTTCATGGGGCCTCTTGCATTGTCATGCTGGACCCTGAAACCAACAAAGGATGCCAATGTGCCATCATCTTTGGGTATGGTACACTCAACCTGTCATATTCAGAAGAGTTTTAGCAGAAACTATAGACTATTATTGTTCAAGATATGAACTCCCAAAAAGAAGAGATTAAAAAGAAACAGAAAACTAAGGAACTATAAAAGCATCCATCCCAATTGAAACAAATATCTTGAATAGAAGAAATGAGAAGAAACAAGCCTTGATTTCTCTAAATGGAATGAGCAAGCTCTTTTCGAGCTTTGAATCGAGACTGAGAAGTCTAGCAGCAAGCTTGAAGTTTCTGTTTGTTGCTGCTAGTGCGTTCATGGTCGTATTCTCGAAAGAGTAATCCGCAGCTGCTATGTATAACAACAACAAACCACTCAGTGGAATGGAATCTTGGACTTCATAGCAAAATGAAAAAAGAAAAGAACAAAAAAGATAAATAAGAATATTGAGACTAGGAAAAATACTTAATAATAAAGTATTAAAACAGAGTGAAAGCTAAGAGATCAGAAATATGGATGAAGATTCTTCTTCTTCTAATATTCAATGCTCTCCATTTGAGAACAGAGAAACCTTAGGCTATTTGTTTACTCATATTTGAATGGAAACTCTGTCTCATATATATATATATATATATAGATAGATAGATAGAGAGAGAGAGAGAGAGAGAGAGCTGACCTCAGTGTTATCTCCAAGAAAAACAAACACTGTGGGATTTGAGTTATTTAGCTTTAGAGATAGGGGAGAGACAAAAATGGAAGAGCTGAAGCTAGGCCTTCACAGAAAGGAAATGTGCTGGAAAAAGGTGAGATACAGAAGAAGCTCAGAACAGTGGGTTTTGAAGAACTATGAACTACCCTCCTAGGTATCCATTTATAAACACCATAACCCAGCACGAACACAACAAGTGGAAGAATCAGATTCCAATCTCCAAAAGAATTATCCTTCTACTCCACCAATCTCTGCCAAATCCATATCAAATTGCAGAGCCAATATGCAGATTTTGAGTGAAGAGAATGTGAATATGAGAATATAAGCATATAATGCAAACTCACACGCCCATTTGCCACTCTGCACTCACTCACAGCCTTTCTTTCTCTTTCTCTTTCTCTTTCTCTTTCTCTTTCAATAGCTTAGTGAGTTCCAAATCAGATTCCCTCTATGCTCTTTCTGCTCTTGTGATGCTCATTCTAGCTTGCTAATGTGATTATGATTGGTTTTTTAAAGACATTTACCACTTTCTCTCACTTGTGTCTCAGTTAGATGCATCTTCTTCGCTTGCTTTTTGTTTATGATGTAGTGCATATTACGTCTGAATTACATGGCCTATTAGTATGATATTGTATTTTCTTTTGACTCAAGGAACTATATAGTTTCAAGCTTGCGTTTGTATGATGATTATTGAAGCATCGTTCAGCTAAGGACTTTTAGTGACAAAAGGAGGAACAAGCTTAGTTACGAGGTGTTAGGGACAAAGATACTTAGAAGACTGAACAACATGCATTATTCTATGAATATTTTGATGCATATGTTGGGATTTTACCTACGAGATTAAACGTTGTGTCTTTAGGATTTGTGATTATCTGAATAAACGAGTTTTATCGGCGAGAATTTTGGGATTAGTTAAGCATTTTGGTGACGAGCTAAGAGAATATAGGTGTGGTATTGTAAGGACTCGACTATTGTGAGCAAGAGTTGGGGCCTTCTCAATTAATTATCATATTGTCTTCTCTAAGCCAATATTGGTTAACCTTAAACTCCCGGACACTGAATCTAATCCTCTGCAAAAAGTAAGAATTACATATTTTGACCGATTAATAATGGAGAATGGGGTTGCTCCCGCAACAAAACTAAGATAAAGTTGCGCAAAATTACGTGGAGGTGGAATTTCTTTGGACCCAACTTGCAAGAAATTTTGGATGATATTATTGAGTTGAATTGATTTTCACTTTGTCTCTAATAATATTATTGATTTTCACATTATCTAACATTTGTCAACCTCTCTTTAGCTCGGTATACGAGGAGCAATACAATGTGGATGATATCTATAGGTAATAGATGTTGGAATAAGTTCCATTCGAGTAGATATGTACGCCATCCCAAAAGGCTGCACACAAGAATAAGAATATGTTCATCCGCTCCCTTGTCCAATTTGGCCCATCTTTTAACTTTATCACATTATTAATACACACAAATCGATGATATTTTATGTTAAAAGATGACATATTTCGAAGATTAAAAAATTATAGCATTATCATTTCACGAGTGCTAAGCCAGTGTTGTAAGTTCAGATAAAACCTTTCAATTCATCTCTATTATATTGAGTTCTTTCGCATTTTTTCTTATAAGGTCGAGTAAAAAAAAACTATAATTATAAAAAAAAATTTAAACTTAAAATTAAATCGCTTAAGATCATATAAACACTATATACGATCGAAAACAAATCAATTTTCACTTAACGAATTGAATCAGATGTAAAAGTATTTGTTTAGATAAAGACTTAGAATATCTTTGTACGTTGGAGATCATAATCCACTATGATCCAAAATGTTCGGCCAAAATTCACCAACTAAAGTTATATAGGATTTCCCCATGTTATTTCACTATCTTCCTTTCGTGTTAAATTTTTATACTCGAATTTAGTTTCTAAATTTTGCTTTGTATTTATTTAGTAGAGGTGTTCGTGGGTTGAGTTAGGTCAGGTTGGATCATTTTCTATACTTAATTTATTTGTCCGGGAGGTAAAATTTTCAACTAAAACAACCCTTATTAAATAATAAAACTCGACCATAAATTTTGTAGGTTGAGTTAGTTCGAGATATTTATTCAAATTTTTATTTTTAATAAAATTAAAATGTTAACTCGTAAAATATCTATTTATTTTTAAATATTTAATTATAATATGAAATTACTTTTGGAATAGTTATAAATTATTTTAAAGACTGCTAATAAATAATTAAAAAAAATATGCAAATATTATTGTTATTTAAAATTAACAAAATCTTGATAGGGCTTTTCCATGACTATAATTAACCGATTAGAATAAGACGTTTGAAAAATTACATTTTAAGTAAGTCCTCCCGAGATGTACTTTTAAAGCGAAAAAAAAAAAGAAGAGAGAAATACTCTAACACTCCACCGTTGTCATATATTCCATAGTTAGATACTACATTGAGTAAGATTGTCTTTACTACACATTGTACTAAAACTTATAATTAGTATCGTGTGATTGTAATGTGAGGACAGATGTGAGACTTGCCAACTCATCCCGATCGAAAAGGGTCCATATGGTATTGCCTAGAGATCTGCAACAATCCCCTAGGTTGAAAACCTGCCCATAAAGGGCATGTGACCACAATGGTACATAGTAGTTGGACCTATAGAACTCCAATGAGATTAGGGTCCACTTGGGCCTGACTATGAGGAACTAGACTCGGTGAAACGAGAAAAGACCCTAAAAGGGTAAAACGTTCAAGAATCTCATACAAAATTTTGATGCGTATATGTGTTTGATAAGCAGGGCGATGAGATATCACTATAAGATGAGGGACTCGATTGAGCAAAACTATAAGGAACTATAGGAAATAGATTCAGTGTGTAATGTCCCACATTAGTTGGGGAGGAGAACAAACCACTATTTATAAGGATATGGAAACATTCACCTAGCATATGCGTTTTAAAGCCGGTTGGGGAGGAGAACAATAGCAGATGTTTTTTAAAGCCGGTTGGAGAGGAGAACAAGCCTTGAGGGGAAACCCGAAAAGGAAAGCCCAGAAAACAATATTTGCTAGCTTGAGGGGAAGCTCGAAAGGAAAAACCCAACAATATCTACTAGCTTGAGGGGAAGCTCGTAAGGAAAAGCCCAACAATATCTACTAGCTTGAGGGGAAGCTCGAATGGAAAAGCCTAGAAAGAACAATATCCGCTAGCGATGGATCTGGGCCGTAACCTAACTTGAGACTTGAGATGCCTAAAGAACCTAGTCTTTGTCCGAGACAAGTTACAAACGACCTCTTCAATAATCCTCTAATCTAACTCGATCGACTAATTTAAAATATTGTACTTAATCAAAGTTAATTCCACGAACACGTCAAATAATAATTTTTTTAATACCCATACCAACTACTTTGAATAATAAATAATTAATGATTTTAGCTTTTAATTTTTTTTTATTATAATTATTATTTTTTTAATATATTTATTATAAAATAAATTCGTGGAAGCATAGGCTGCCATTTAGCAAAATAATTGAGATGATGAGGCGGCTACGCAAGTTTTTGTTTATTTATTTTTATTATTAGTATTTTTTAATAATTAAAAAGATTAAATTTAAATATTTAAAAGTATGAAACTTAAAATACGAACTTAAAAAAATAAACAAAATTTTTTAAAAAAATTTTGGTCATATTTTTAATTTTTTTAAAAAATATTTAAAAGTGTTTTTTTTATTTGATTTTTCATGCTTAAAAATTTTAAATAATTGGTGATTTGTTTATTTTTAACAAAATAATAATAATAATAATAATAATAATAATAATAATAATTACTATTTATAATTAAACGCCAAAATTGTTTTATAAGAGATATATAAACGTTTGAAAGTGTCTAATGTCTTGAAGTCTAACACATTGACCATGCTAAAATTTAGCTACATATTTTGTCAGAAATTTAAAATTGAAATTGATGTCATGGCTCGCGTAGCTAGACTTGAATTTTAAAAGACAAAATCAGACTTTCGTTAAAGATAGATGAGTGACACCAGTTTAATTAGGTAAGTGGTTTTACTATCGGCTCGATCGGAAGACTTGTCTTATGTATGACGACATGTGCCCAATAGCCCTTGCACGTGTCATTTATGCTTTATGTTATACGATGATGTGATGATGTTATATAATGATGTGTGACGTTATATGATGATGTTATATGGTGACGTGATGATGTTAAATGATGATGTGATGATGTGATGATAGGATGATGTGATTATGTTATATGATAATGTGATGACGTTAAATGATGATGTGATGATGTTATATGATGATTTGGTGACGTTAAATGATGATGTGATGATGTATATGATGTTGACATGATGATGATGCATGATAACAAGATGTTGTGAGACGTATGATGATGCAATGACTTAATATGAAGATGTTTCATATTAAGATGATGTAGCATGTATTAAATGTCACGATGCACTATGACAACGGATTTTTAAAGATACAATTCTAGTTGATGTTAATGATCATGAATGTATGAAGGTCAATGCTTGCATGTTACTTAGAGTAATGTGTGAACGATGTATAGGGTTGTGTCATAATGATAATTTAGAGATGAAAACTATAGGGATCTCATGCATTTTGTGTGTTCATATATATGATCATGAATACGGATGCATACACTATAATGATGATCACCCTTAGAGAAAGCCACATCTCTATATATAGTGTAGTATTGAAGCTTGAAGTTTGTGTGCACTAAGACTATCAATGGTTCATTCTTCCACCACCGTTTTCCCCGCCCACCCTACTCCCACTGCCACCCTCTCCTTCTCCGAGAGCGACCAAATCAAGCCATGGACTCACTCCCCCACTGTTTATGTCTACCGATCCCCCGCCGTCCCCACCTCCGCCGTCGTCGACTCCTTGAAAAACTCCCTCTCCCAAATCCTCGTCCCTTACTACCCTCTCATCGGCCGCCTCCACTGGATTGGTGGAGGCCGCCTTGAGCTTCATTGCTCCAGCACCGGAGCTCAGCTCATTGAAGCCTCCTCTACTGCCACGCTCGACGATTATGGCGATTTCTCTCCCACTGATGCTCTTCGAGAGCTCACTCCGAAAGTCGATTATAGTACTCCCATTGAGGAGCTGCCGGTGTTGTTGGTTCAGATTACGAGGTTTAGCTGTGGTGGGATCGTGATTGGCATCGGCATTTCTCACATTCTTGTTGATGGGGTCTCGGCGATTACGTTTATCAACTCGTGAGCGAGTATTGCACGGAGGGAGAAGGCGGTGGAGAGTATTGTGCAGCAATTTCATGATCGGAGTGTTTTGCAACCGCAGAAGCCGTTACGGCCGCCCAAGTTCGACCACCATGA